CCTCCCATTGCCCTTCGAAAAGGTATTCGATCCACTCGAAATCCTCATCCCCTTTATTCTTTCTTGAGTTATGACAGACTTTCTTCACAACATTTTACTTTTGTTTCTAGTCTCTCTTCTGTTTCCATCCCTAAAACCACAGGTGAAGCACTATCTCATCCAGGGTGGCGCCAGGCGATGCTTGATGAAATGCAGGCACTTCACTCCAATGGCACTTGGGATCTTGTTCGTGCTCCTCCCGGGAAGTCTGTTGTTGGTTGTCGATGGGTGTTCACAGTTAAAGTTGGTCCTGATGGCACTGTTGATCGCCTTAAAGCTCGCTTAGTGGCCAAGGGATACACACAGATCTTTGGTCTTGATTATGGGGATACCTTTTCTCCTGTTGCTAAGATGGCTTCTGTTCGCCTGTTTCTTGCCCTTGCCGCCATTCATCACTGGCCCCTTCTCCAACTTGATATTAAAAATGCTTTTCTACATGGTGACTTGCAGGAGGAAGTTTATATGGAGCAACCACCAGGTTTTGTTGCTCAGGGGGAGAATTCTGGAATGATATGTAAACTTCGGAAATCTTTATATGGCATGAAGCAATCTCCTCGGGCCTGGTTTAGCCGCTTTAGTTCAGTTGTTGAATCCTTTGGATTAATCAGAAGCAAAGCCGATCATTCTGTCTTTTACCGGCATAGCTCTTCTGGCCAGTGCGTTTATCTCCTGGTCTATGTTGATGACATTATCATTACAGGCAGTGATCAGACCGGGATTGATCAGTTGAAAGAGCATTTATTCAATCAATTTCAGACCAAAGATCTTGGCAGACTTCGATATTTCTTGGGGATCGAAGTTGCACAGTTTAGGCTGGGCATTTCCATCTGCCAGAGGAAGTATGCACTGGATATCCTAGATGAGACTGGCATGTTAGGCTGTAAACCCATTGATACACCTATGGACCCCAATGTTAAGTTATTACCAGGACAGGGGGAGCCACTGCCAGATCCTAGTCGCTACCGCCGACTAGTTGGAAAATTGAATTATCTTACTGTGACAAGACCAGATATCTCCTTCGCAGTGAGTGTTGCAAGTCAATTTCTTGATTCTCCCTGTGACTCCCATTGGGATGCAGTTATTAGAATTCTCCGATATATTAAAAGGGCGCCAGGAAGAGGTTTATTATATACAAATAAAGGGAGTTCAGAGATCTCTAGTTATTCAGATGCTGACTGGGCAAGTTCTCCTTCAGATAGACGATCCACCTCAGGGTATTGTGTTCTCTTCGGAGGAAATTTGATCTCTTGGAAGAGTAAGAAGCAAACTGTGGTCACCAGATCCAGTGCGGAGGCAGAATATCGGGCAATGGCAAATGCAACCTGCGAGCTCATCTGGCTGAGTCAATTGCTGAAGGAACTCCATCTCTGTGAACAAAGGCCTATGAAGCTCATTTGTGACAACCAAGCCGCTTTGCATATATCCTCTAACCCAGTCTTTCATGAGAGGACCAAGCATATAGAAATTGATTGTCATTTTGTTAGAGAAAAGATCCAGTCAAGGGAGATCGATACAGCATTTGTCAATTCCAATGATCAACTTGCGGATGTATTCACTAAAGCTCTTAGAGGTCCCCGAATAGATCATATTCGTAACAAGCTGGGAGCTTTTGATATATATGCACCAGCTTGAGGGGGAGTGTTAGAAATAATATTAATTTATTATTATTAGAATAGTCTAGAATAGTCTAGATTGTGGGCTTGGCCCATTAGGTCATCCCATTAGGTCTTTTAGTCTCTATAAATAGAGAGCCTCCTTGTACAGACTTACACACTTGAATATACAATATATTTCATATTCAATTCCATATAACATATCCGTACATAACGATACATAGTATAACTGAAATCATATAACAACTAATAATACAACATCCAATAGTTAAAATCTCTAATCAGAGAGTCCAGATAGATATATCATATAAGCATAACTAGGAATACGACATTCTGTAGTTAATATCCTTATATAGATAGTCCACAAATATGTTTGAGAACATACGTCCCTCCAGAGTAAACCAGAGTCAACCGAGCATCGGATGCACTCATGGCAAATATCAAATATGTTCATTGGCCAAGAACCAGAAATACATATATACATATCCGTATATAACAGCCAAATGTGTGTTTTCTCACACGTAAGGTGTCCCTTACAATAATAAGGGTGGCATATATATATATATATTTGTCTCATAACAAAATCCATAACTTATCCACCATTACATCATTCATCAATACCGAAATCATCACATCATCTCACTTATCACTTATCAATCAAATCATCAGAAATACATATCTTATTCACCATCAGATCATCAGAAACACATATTATATAGTCACATAATTTCATCCTATATGAATGCAACTATACTAGTGTCTAACAAACATCAGTCATACAAACATAAAACCAAAGTCCCACTGGACTGTGATGGAACATCAAGTTAGAAAAATACTCTTAAACCAAGAGCTTACCTATAAAGTTTTCCTTGTAAATAGCTTGATCTTCCAAGATTACTTCTCTACTCCACACTATTTTCATAAATAAAAGCACTATCAATCACCAAACATCTATTACTTGAAATTCAAGAAACTAACACTTTACATGTTAATTCCCACAATCATACTTGAATTTAAATAACCTCCTAGGTTATTTTCTTAATATGGCCGAAACCAACATACTATGAAGTCATTGTAAAAGTTCTACAAACCATGCTTACTTGTATCAATAATATTTAGATTAGTTTTAAAACTACAAAGCACCATTTAACATAAAACTCATTTCAATTATACTTAACCCTAACATGGCCAAACCATGAACTATAGGGTTCCATGACTTCAAAAGTCATCTTTTAACAATTAATTACTCAAATTGACTATACAACAAGCAATGGTAACAATCACCATTGAAAATTACATTGAATCAACTTCCAACATAATTTTCATGTTTTAACCTAAACATAACATATTTGGTTATCTCATTTCCTAACCTTTTCCATATAAACTTCATAGTCAATTTCATCATTCATAAGATCATGACCACTAATCATCATTGATACCAAATTATATCAACTCAAATCATAATTTTTCTTGCTTGGCCGAATTGGAACATATCAAATTTCATAGATTTTACATACATTAACATAGCTAATTCATACTCCACTTAACTTGTTCATACACTAGAAACTTTACACAACATTTAAACATCATGAACCACAATTCTAATGCCACTTAAAACATTATGGCCAAATTGCACTTATCTAGGAGTCATAAATTTTCTTCAAACTTTAACTAATTATCAATCAAACCTTTCATCAATATGTCATCCATTAATCATATTTTCACATAGACTTGTAATCAAGTATTTAGTCTACATCATTTTTCATGCTCATAGCCAAAATCCTATTTGAATTTTTCAACAATCCATCATGCATTTTCAAGGCTTGCCCTTTTTGTTCTATGGAGTTCGACCAACATAGAGAGGAAGAAGAAAAGAAGGTGGCGTGGAAGCTAAGAATAGAGAGCAACCGACCTTATGTATGAAAATTCACTAAGTTGCTTAAGTTTTATGCTTGTTTGACTTTTCTACTTTAAAATAATTACCATTGGTTACCATTTTATGCATCTTTGACCCATTTTTTATAAATTTCTCTAATCATAATTTGATCAATTTAAGATCACTTCAAGCCTACAAAATTTGCCAAACTATTTAATTAAGGGTTTTATTAATCTCATGTTAAAGGAGATAGTTATCTCATGTCATAGAGATAAATTTGTGGGTTCCACCACCTCAAAAAAGAAAAGAAAAGAAAAGAAAAAGGTGGCACAGTTATCGAAGGGTGTGTAGGAGGAAAAACTTATCTCATGTAACATGAGAATAGTTTTTCTCTTTAATTAAACTATCAAAATCAAGTTTTGGCTAAGTTTTGCCTATTTGCAAAATGGTCCCTAAACTTTTACATATTTATACGTTGCCCCACAAACTTTTCAAATAATACTATTTGGGTCCTAATTAATTTGTTTGGCATGAACTGTATCCTCATACTTATTATCATGTCAATTATATGATTTATTTGTCAGAATTTCCTTGAATACACACTTAATTCCTTAAACACTTGCTTAACATAACTTGATAGTAAGGATTGTTTTAATATTCTATTATTTTGTTGCTTTATTTGAAAATTAGCACCCTTGATTCCATGGCATGCATGCCCACAAAATTAATTGGGTTGGTGATTGATGAATCCAAATATAAGTAAGTACAGCTTGAGGGAAAATAAATAATAAATAAGAAAAATAATATATATAGACACACACACACACACATATATATTGTAAAAAATAAGTAAATAAATAATAAAAAAATAGAGAAAATCTACCCCTCCACAATATTAATAGTTTTTCTCCACTTCATCCTAAGAGAAACCGTACGTTAATCTATTTCCCACATTATTAATGCTGAAGCATATACATTTTCTTTACAATGTTTAATTTCTTTCCGTGTTTGACCCTCTCATCACTTCATTTTGAGGGAAATACTTATGTTATTTTGCACAAAGTAATCTAATATTGGATTGTGTCTGTATTGATATGCGTTACCAGGTTGTTGCAAAATAAAGAAGCTTGCCTTAGACTACTTTGTTTAAATATTCAATCAACCAAGTAATATTGGGTTAAACTGTTACAGTTCCCACTCCTGAATGGTTGTCAATGCTGTTGTAATCTTCTTAGAGCTTGTATTGTCTACTATCAGCATTGTTGGGAAGGCTAAGAACTTTGCTCAATTTTATATCTTTGAGAACATGACTAGTTTGAAGATAGTGTTTAATGGATTTTTAAAGCTGTTCAGGTCGTCAAATTATTTTTCAAAAGTATGTTATGATGGAGACCCAATCATTTTTGTATCCAACGTATAAAAGGTCAACCATTATTCTTTAATTATGTATCAAAATTCTCAAATGTGTTCAGGGAATGTCCCCTAGACTTGAAGGAAGCCATATCTAGTGTATGTTTTGCTGCACCAAGATGTGCCGATCTGCCAGAGTTGTTACAGGTCCAGTTACTATTTGCTACGAAATATGGGAAGGAGTTTTTATCTGCTGCAACTGAGCTCAGGCCAGACTGTGGTGTTAATCGCCAGGTTTCATGAATTTTTCATGCTATACAGACTTTTTCTTTTCTTTTGTGGGTAAAACATCTCATATAAAAAGATATTTTCTTGTGTGGTATTCTCAATTGCAGTTAATAGAGCTGCTGTCAGTTCGTGCTCCTTCACCGGAAAAGAAACTCAACATTCTAAAAGAAATTGCTGTTGAGCATGAGTTAGATTGGGATCCAGCTGCTTCAGAAACTGAGTTCTTTAAAAAACACGAAGACTTACTGGTAAGTATTAGACTGTAGTGACTAGCTAGAAGGGAAAAAAACTGGCCATGGTATGTTAAATTCTTTCTTTCTCGCACCATTACCTTGTATTCCCTCCTTTGTCAGAGTGGCCCCACCCAATTTTTTAGTGGATCAAAGTTGCCGCTTCCTGAAGAAAAACACAATGAAGAATTGTACTCTGCTGATGATACACCCAATAATGAACAACCTGATTCTGATTCTGGCTCTGACACATTAGAATTTCCTGAAGTTCCTGCGGTATCAGTCCGGTCTAATGCAAATGTTGCCACAGCTCCAGAAATGGTTACACCTCCACCTATGCCACCCCCTGAAGTTGATCTTCATTCATCAAGCCATTCTGGAGACTTTTCAGATCTAAAGCAGGAGCAAGTTGAAGAAATATCAACTGTTCACAAAGATGAACCCCATACTTCATTTGGTGAAATGGGAAGTAAACAGTTTGTGCCATTCATATCCCCTCCAACAGTATCATCTGGATCATTTTCTGCAAGACATAGTGACTCACCTCCCTACTTATCAAGCACAAAATCTGAAGCCAATGTGGACTTGCAGGATGTTTTGGCTGCTGCCCATAATGCTGCTGAAACTGCCGAACGTGCTGCCGCTGCAGCTCGGTCAGCAGCTAGCCTTGCTCAAGTCCGTATTAACGAGCTTACTAAGAAAAAAAATAGTGAACAAGTACCAGACAGCAGCTCTGAGAACCCATTTTATACAGGTGGTGATAATAAATCTACTACAGAAAGGGGAGATTTCACTGAGCACAATACTGCAGGTAACTCTGATGACAGTGGTAGAAATGATCTTGAACTTCACCATGATCATTATGCTTCCCCAGGCTCTCATTCATCAAGTTTTCCTTCATTTGGTACACTGAAGGAAGATTTTTATTCTTCCCTACCCAATGATCATGTTTTGGATGACAAATCCTCTAGTCACCAGCCAAAGAGATTACCTTCAATGGATGATGATTCATATTTCTCCTACCCCAACCTATTTACCTCACAAAACTCAAATGTTGCATATCAGACTCACTCAGATAAATAGCCGTTCCAATCATGATCTGTGACAGGGAATTATCATTCAACCACACATTTCCTCATATGACTATGCTGTCTTGCAAGTGTGTTTTATGCTGCTGTATAATTGAATCTATTATTTATTTTTATTTGTTTTGCTTTATTTTCGAAGAGCATTAAATTTCCGGCTTTATTGTCTACATAGTATGGCTGGCTTTTCAGAATGAACGGGCACTGCAAGTAATTAATTGCTTTAGTTCAGGAGCCTTCCTGTTTGTGGCTGAGGCTGCAATGAATGTATAAATTAAATAGTGTTGGAATAAATGCTTTCAACTTCATTTTTCTTTTTATTTGTAGTGCCATGTAGAAATCCCATGCTTGGTAAGTTAGGTCACGAGAGGATACTAGACATGTAATGCATTCATGTAAATGCATTCAAAACTACATATGTAATTATTGTAATATTGTTGCATGTTAGTGTGGAATATTATCACTTTACTGTTTTAGTATTTTTCTTCTTTGAGTACATTTAGATGGTACCACATCTTTAAGCTTCTTGTTCATATCAACTGCGTTAGACCTATTAGATATGCATCCTTCGACGAGAAATTATTCATGCCTTTCCAAGCCCCTTATCTTTGTGAACCAAAATTTTGAGTACCTGGTTAGTTAGTGGGTTCAAAATATTGCAGGCAAGGGGCTAACAAACTTGCCAAGGAAACTTGATTCTTTAAAATCTTAACGTATTGTTGTTCGACACTAACCCATACCCGAATAGGATTGAAAAAGGAATGGGAGTGGGAGTGAAAGTGAAAGTAGAAACTTATTCATATGTTTTGTTTGATTTGGACATGAATGGTATGATGACTGTTACATTTTTATGTTTGTCATATTATAATTTATAATGATGAACTTAATTTATAACTTTTTTGTCATGGGTTAACTAAGTTGGGCTTGAATCCATTTGGGCCAACTAATTTTTTGGGCCTAGTCTAATTTCTATCAATTATAAGGTTGATAATTTCTTTATAGGATTAGTTCTATCAAGGTCACTTATGTAATTTAGGCAATTTGTTTTATGATTTAAAACTTAAACTTAAAATATTTAATTTGCGATTATTTATGATTAGGATTTTTATCTTATTTCAATATAAAATATGGTTATATTATTCAGGTGTTTGTTTTATAACTCTAAGCTTTCCGTTCTACTTAATCATCTTCTTATACTAGATAACTATTTGCCTACAGATTTTTAGTTGAGTCACCTTTAGCCACTAATCCCATATTTCTACAAAGCCATCACCTAGAAGCATTTTCACCACTTTCTGACATCTTAGGTATGTATGTAGGATAGCTCAGAGCTGTGCCTTGATTAACTGTTTTACCTCAGCTTCTATGTAACATGTAGATTAGAATCAACCAGCATTTCTAACTTTTTTCTCTTCTAGAATTTTACCTTAGAACATTTCAGCTGTATGAAATTTAGACCTGACATGACATTTCAACTTAAACATGAAAGAAAGATGGTTTCGGGCACATGGGATCAATGCTCAACTATTCATGTCAACAAGTAACAAGGGAGAAGTTTATCAAATCACGATTGAAATCATGAATAACTAAGCTAATTTTTTAATCTTCAACCATAAATTGTATCAAATCATAAGATTGAGAGATACAATGAAAAATAACCTCATGTATATATAAATATATTGAGTTTATTGTTTTTCCTGTCGCATAAGGTAAAATTTTCTTCAGCAATTCCAAAATTGTGTCATTTTGAGGGTTGGAGGAACTAATAAAAGGTAATTTGGTAAAATTTATATAACAAAGAAATAACCAAAATTCTTAAAATATCCTTTATTAATTCTCGTAATCCCTAAAATGATATAGTTTTGAGGTTATTTGAGATAATTTTTATCTCATGTGACAGAATAAATATTTTTTCATATATATATATATATATATATATATATATATATATATATATATTGTTCAATAACCTCAAATATATTATTCAAGTTACGTACAATGGTCAATGTTATTATTTTAAACTATGAATAGATAAAAATAACTTAATCATAAATCTCACAAAAAAAAAAAATCATGGTTCATAAGTCATAATATAAAATGATTACATGAAACTTATGTTTAAAAAAATTAAAATAGAGTAATAATATAGCCAATAGTGTCAAGTAAATGTTAGGATACAGTATTTCATATATGGAATAGGCAAATAGAATGTATGGAGGGAGTGAATGACATTGTAAAACCCCTCTTTTACAAGAAATGAAACAAGGCAATTAAATAATCAAATAGAATGTATTCAGTTGCTTTTTTTAGTTCTTTTTCATTTAAAAATTTAAGCTTACGTGACTTTCCAATTCCTTTTACCATAATTGATAAAATAAAAGCAATAACATAAAAAAAATAAAATTAATGAGTTGTTACATCGTGAAATTTGTATGGATGATATGGAATCGAACTAATTCATGTATATAATGCATGATTCAAAATAACTTCAATTTATCACATCATATGAATTGCAAGCTTGCCAAATTATATCGAACATACTGATCTGGACCTACTATATAACAATCCTAATTCTCAAACTGTGAAATTGAGAATTAAGTGAGACAGTGTGTGAATTTTATGATTGTTAAGGAAATTCTAATAATTAAATCATGAAACTACCATGATAATGGATGTGAAGACACAATTCATGCTTAACAAGTCAATTAGGACCTAAAAAGAAGATAAGTTGTGTTTAGAGACAAAATACAAAAATTGTGTAATAGAGGTATTTTGGTAATTTTCTAAACTAGCTCTGAACTGAGTTCTGACAGTCTAGTTAAATTCTCTGATAAATTCTAAGGGTTATATATGTGTTTAATTAAATTAAATGATGCGTAGAATAATTTAAATAATTAGGTCAAAGATTGATTAATTAAAAAGTGAACTAGGTTACAAAGTAAGCTTTAACTTTACACCTAGGCTTAATCTTTGATCAAAGATGAATATCTTGCTTTGTTTGCTATTTGTGATATGTAATTATGTTATTGTATGATTGGTTGGTCAAAATTCAAGTGTATGATGTGTAAAGTGAAAACCAATGAGAATTAAGTTACTTTATACATGTAAAAAGTCAAAAATAGTGTGTTATCCTATCCGTGCAAGACCAATTCGGTTTTCACTCTTCTTGGATGTATTTCCATGCACAAAAATCTGATGGAGCAAGTAGGAGTCTTGTCTTTGAAGCTTGGTTAAAGCTGGATAAAATTATCTAAAGTTAAAAAGTGAAAAAGTAATGAAAATTTAACCATTAAGCCTTTAAATTTCAAACCACTTGTCATCTTTTCTTTCTTTCTTCAAGACACACAAAATATCATCTTCTTCTTCTCCTTCTTGGTTGTGGCATATGCTTGAGAGAACTTTTATTTCTAGCTATTATTTCAAGAAAGTTTCAACTTGAAAAAGATTCCTTGTGAGCTTGTGAGCAAAACCCCTAAAATCATACAACCTCTAGCCTTGTTTTGAGTGAGATATCTTCTCCTAAAGCCTTGATATAGCTGCTGTCCTCTTGGTGTTTGGATGAGTTTTTGCTTGGTTTTTATGTTGGAAAAGCTTAAGGTTACCTAAAAAAAGCTATACAAGGTAATTGCTAACAACTTTGTTGATTGGATGATGATTTATGAACATTTGTGTTTTTGTGTTCAACATGAATTTCTATGTATGTTGATGATGAATTTTGAAGTCGTTTTGTTTTGGAAATTGGTTGTTTAGTCTTGCAAATCAAAGATAACATCTAGAATTCTTGAAAAATTGCAAGACTCAAACCTAACCCTAACCTTTCAAATTCGGCCATGAATAGTAAATTAGAGTTTGATATGGTTTGATTAAGTGTACATGTTGGTTGATATGGTGTGATGATTAATTGATGATTATATGTTTAATAAATGGTTTATATGTTATGGAAAATGCATGCAAAGTGTTGATGTTTCAAGTTATAATTTTGGCTATGCATACTAAGTGTATGATAATGATGTGTTTATATATCAATGATGATGAAATTAGTGTTGAGATATTCAAGTGTGATGAATCCCACATTGGTTGGTAATGGGCTAAGTGAAGAACATATGAGTGGAAGGACCCATGAACCCATTGCCTTAAGTTTTTGGGTTGTCAAAGAAGACAAACGTAAAAGAGAGAGAGAGGTTCAGAGAAAAGGAAGAGAGAGAAACTGAATGTGCTTTTGTCATTGTATTTTAATGAATCAGTTATTGTACAACATATTGCTTTATATGGAAGTACACGTAAGCTGAAAGGCAATAACCTATTTACAAGACTATCCTTACTGAATAATAAAAGTCTATTTACTAAAGTATCCCTACTACAACGAGTGTTACTTTTATACTCTAATAGGCCCCCTCAAACTCAGGGTGGATGAAGCAGAAGCTGTGAGTCAACCACCGTGAGTTTGTCCCTCAAAAAAGAAAAACGAGAGGCAGAGAGGCTCTTTGTGAGAGTGTCAGCTATCTTATCCATGGCAGGGACATGACAGACACGGATTTCATGAGCTGGGACACGCTCTCTGACAAAGAAGATGTCTAATTCCATGTGCTTGGTTCTGGCATGAAGGACAGGATTGTGTGATACAGAAACTGTACTCAAGTTGTCACAGAAAATGAGGGGAGTAGTAAATTGAACATGTAGTTCCTGAAGCAAGGATTTAAGCCAAAGAACCTCAGCAGTAGCCAGAGCCAGGCTACGATATTCTGCCTCAGTACTAGAACGAGAAATCAGAGTTTGTTTCTTGGACCACCAAGAGACCACGTTAGAGCCAAAAAATACACAAGCTCCTGAAGTAGATCGGTGATCATCTGGATCTTCAGCCCAGTCAGCATCACAGAATGCTGTGACAGAGAAGAGGTGACTGGGATGGCATGGTTGAAGAAGCATTCCATGATGAAGAGTCCCTCTAAGATACCTTAAAATGTGCTTAACAGCACTCCAATGTTCATCAAGAGGTTCAGCCATGAATTGACATGCTTTATTCACAGCATAGCTGATTTCTGGACGAGTAAGGGTGGTATATTGCAAAGCTTCAACTATGGAACGATAGAATGAAGGGTCTGAATAATAATGAGATCCATATTTTGAGAGTTTGCAACCAGATGGAAGAGGAGTAGAGATTCCTTTAGCTTCTGCCGTGTTAGCTCTAATAAGTAGATCCCTGATGTACTTTGATTGAGACAAGATGAGAGCTCTAGAAGAGGTTTTCTATACTTGAATGCCAAGGAAAAAATCCAAATCTCCAAGATCTTTGAGTGCAAATATTGTATGCAGCTGCTATACCAAGGACTGAATGATAGTTGAATCACTACCAGAGATGATTATATCATCTACGTAGACCAAAAGAAATACACAATGAGCAGATCTTCGGTATATGAACAGTGACGGATCACATCTGCTAGCTGT